CCTTCTGCTCAAGGGACTCGGGTCAGGCTGCCGGTGGGGCTGGCCTCCCCTACCAGCTTAGCCACCAGGGGAAGTCCATACACAGGGCTACAGCACTTACGGAAGGATCTAAACTAGCTGGCCCCTTGGAAACGGATGGTCTGAAGGAAAAGGTGCTTGACGGAAGGAGGGACGCAAGAGCCATAGATTAAGAAATTTCGGCAGGGGGTTTCCCATAATCCAAAGATTACAGAAGCATCTCATGTTCCTGCACTTCTGGGGGAGAAAAAAAAACCTTAAAAGACTTTCAGGTAGTCTCTTAATTCTCACACTCTGGCTTTCCCATGTCTCTCTACTTACTACTCCTGCCCCTTTTACTGCTGTGTAAATGCTCCCTTTTCTCTTCCTTTGCTGGTGGAAGTGGACCAGGTCTCCCCTGAATGGAAGGGAGTAAAATTATTCACTTTGCTCATTGAATCAGAAGCATTCTGTCTTCTAAAAAGTGTGGCTCTTGTTATCCTTTGGAGCATAAACTGTCCGTGTTTATTTGATGTTGAGACGTGAGGTTCCAGCTACCACTCCAAATCTAGCCATTTCTAAAGTGGAACTGGTTTTTCCCAAGAAGTTATTTCTCTAATAACATGCTAGCAGTGGCCCCTACTGCCCTGTTGGTAAGCCAAATGCATACGTGGTCTTTGTAGTGGTTCCTCAGCGTTGTGCACAGAAGAGAGCTAGGGCAGGGCGTAAATGAGAAGAGGTGAGTGGGGGGCTCCCAAAGTGGGGTGGGCACACCCTCAGGAAAGAAGGTAGAGTGGGGTGAGGAGAATAGGAAAGGGGGGGGACACTCATCCACAATTCAAGGACAGGTTACTTTGAGCCAGGTGACATGCCCTCTACAGAGCTGAGTCCTGCTGGCAGAGGGCTGCCCAGGAAGGTTGCTTGGGATCAGTGCCCAGGCGTGACCGAGGAAGTCACCGTCCCGCGCAGCGCTGGTTATCTGCTTGGCTTCAGCTGCGTCTCAGCTGGCTGCTCACACAGAAATCTGCAGATGCCACCCCGGTCCCTGACTGAATGCTCCTGCGGCCTCCGTGAGGCAGGCCAGGCACTGGTCTATTTCCATTTCTCCCTTCGACCCCATTTCACATCCTCCTGGCTCACTGTCCTCCCCACCCCTAAGGTGTTGCGAATATAAACAAATTCACAAGCATGCAGTTAACTTAATGTCCGATCAGACTGTTAGAGTCACGATCACCTCCCAAACTAAGCTACCAGAGAGGTGTCTAGGAATTGGTGGTGTGGATCTAAGGCCTCCACAGTCAGAAAGCTGAGTACTGCAGAGGGGCTCTGACTTCTGAGACAACTCCAAAAAGCTGTGCAAGTGGACTTGGACATTTTTTTTTTTTTTTTTTTT